TAATAACTACTCAGACACTGTCTCAAAACAACATTCTGAGTAAGTTTTTCTCCACTTCTGTGACTCCTTAAATTCTAATTTCCTTTGGATCTAAAGGTCTTGGCAAGAAAAAAAAAATTCTAATCTCTTGTATATACTTACCATAGCTGGTCAGTCTGTAGTCTTTCTCAACTTTAGATGACAAAATATAATCAACAATTTTGAAAAGATTCTGTTCACCAGCACTGGGAAACAAAGATGACACCCATCCTCACACTCAAGAAAGTTGCCCACCCACATCATGGCAAGAATTACATTCCTAAGATAGCATAATATACAACATTCCTACACTGTGGCAAAATATTTGCGAAGCATCAATTTAAAGGAAGAAAAATTTTGGCTTGCAGTTGCAGACATTTCTGTTGATAGTTACTTGACCCCATTGGTCTAGGTCTCAGATAAAGCTAATAATAGCAGGCAGTGTGTCACGGAATAAAGCTGTTCATATTGGCCTGAAAGCAAAACAGAGGAAGGGTCTGGAGTCCCATTATTATCTACTTAAGAGAAATTTTCCAAATGACCTGACTTCCTCTATCTAGGCCCCATATAAAGTTTCCACTACTTCCCAATAGTGTCACACTGGAGCCTGGAACACGAAAACTTTTTTTTTTTTTTTTGTCACAATGTAATTCCAGCACTTGAGAGGCTGAGGCAGAAGAATTACCTATAGTGGGAGGCCAGGCTGGGCTGAATTTACAGAGATTCTTTGCTTCATCATCCCAAATGCTGGGATTACTGGTGTGAACCATCACACCTGGCTTCATCCACAAGTTTGATGTCTCTGACCTTGAAGATCAGTTACAAAGAAGAAGAGAAAAGTTTCTAGAATGGAAGATTGATTGAAATGTGATACCATTACCTAACTCTGAAAAGGGCAATGGAGGATGGAGGAATAGAAAGAGAAAATTTAATAGTGTATATAAAGTATTGAATAGGAGAGGGGCCAAAAATTTTGACTGTGTGGTCAAAGATAAAAAATGTGCTTTTGGGGCTGGGGATTTAGCTCAGCAGCATAAGCGCCTGCCTTGCAAGCAGGCAGTCTTAAGTTGGATCCCCGGTACTGATGAAAAAGAAAAAAAAAAAAAAAAAAAGCTTTTTTTTTTTTTTTTTTTAAAAGCAGGGTCTGGGGGCTGGGAATGTAGCTCAGCGGCATAAGCGCCTGCCTTGCAAGCAGGCAGTCGTGAGTTTGATCCTCGGTACCCATAAAAAGAAAAAAAATAAAGCAGGGTCTGGGATTACAAGGGCGTGCTGTGGGTTGTTTTTATTTATTTGGGGTTTTGTTTGAGACAGGGTTTTGCTATTTAGTGCAGGCTGCCCTTCAGTTTGTTTATGTAGCCCAAAATAGTTTTGAATTCAGGGAAACCCTCCTGCTTTAGCCTCATGAGTGTTGGGATTACAGGCATGTGCCATCATGCCTGATTTGTGGTTTTAGAAATAGGGGTTGAAACTAGGTGTGGTGATGCACACCTGTAATCCTAGTACTCCAGAGGTTAAAGCAGGAGGATTACAAATTCAAGGCCATCCTGGGGTAATATGCAGCAAGACCCTGACTCATAGAAATAAAGAAGTTTTGTTGTGCCTGGTAGTACATACCTATAATCCCAGCGTTTAGGAGGATCACAGTGGATGGGGTTTGAGGCCAGCCTGGGCTACATAGTGAGTTCAAGGACAGTCTGAATAATGAGTTCAAGGACATTCTGAATAGTGAGTTCAAAGGCAGTCTGAATCACACAGCTGAACTCTCTGTCTCTCTGTCTGTCTGTCTCTCTCTCTCTGTCTCTCTGTCTCTGTTGCTGTCTCTCTCTCACACACACACATGACTAGCCTGGACTATATGATAAGATCCTGTCTCAAAAAACAAACATAAAACAACAACAGTGAGGAAATAAATTTTATCATGTTTGAAACAAGAGAAGTTGTTGCAAAGAAAAATGAACCAACAGTGGAGTTTTGGGGGTCTCTTCTATGTTGAGTATCATGTCATCTGCAAATAATGATAATTTAACTTCCTTCTTTTCCTATCTTTACTCCTTTTATTTCTCTCTTGTTGAACAGACTAACAGAATAAGTCTTGCAATAAGTCTTGCAAGAGATGAGTTAGGAGAGGATAAAAGATGTGGGGGGGAGCCCCTTGGATAAGATAACTAACATGAAAGTAACTAAGAAAGTGGGCATCGTGGCCCAGCACTAGGGAGACTGAGGCAGGAGGATTTCCATGCGTTTGAGGTCAGTCTGGACTACATAGTTCAAGACCAGTTCGAACTACACAGTAAAACCCTGTCTCAAAAACAAAATCAAATGAAACAAAAACAAAAACTATAAGATGAAAAACAAAAATCAAAACAAGGGCTGGGTATCTCAGTGGGAAAGTTCTGGGGACAAATTAGTTAAAAACTACTTAGGAGGGCTGGGGATTTATCTCAGCTTCATATGAGCCTGCCTTGCAAGTGTGTGGTCGTGAGTTTGATCCCCAGTACCAATTAAAAAAAAGACAAACAAAAACAAAAACTGTTTAGGAGCCGGGTGTGGTAGCTCAACCTGTAATCCTAGCACTCTGGAGGCTGAGGTGGGAGGATCATTGCAAGTTCAAGACCAGCCTGGGTTACAAAGTGAGCTAAAGGCCAGCCTGAACTGCATAGGGAGACCCCGTCTCAAAAAAAGATCAAAGGGGCTGGGGATTTAGCTCAGCGGCATAAGCACCTGCCTTGCAAGCAGGCAGTCGTGAGTTTGATCCCCGGTACCGATAAAAATGAAAAAGCAAAAAAAAAAAAAAAAAAAAGATCAAAAACAAAAAACCCTACTTTGTAGGGACTAAGTAGGTAGTTCAGTGGGAGATTGACTGCTTAGCATGATCAAGATCCAGAGTTTTATTCCTGGCACTACACAAAATAAAAATAAATTGCAGAGTCCATGAAATAATGTACTTCGTTTGTTGTATTCCTTTGGTGTTATTTCTTTAATCTGCCAGTTTTATACGACCTCCACATGATATGGTGAAATAAATATAACTTCTACTCTGCTAGATGTCTGATACATAGAGTTCATGTTCCCCAAAGTTGAAGAATGGAGGTTAAGAGTGGGAAAATTTATTGGGGAAAAGGAATGGAGGATAGGTTTGCTATTGTTTTGAGACAGAGTCTCACTATGTAGTTCAGACTGGCCTTGAACTCTGTGTAACCTTTGCAGGCCTCAAACTCAGTGATCTTGCCTTGTGTGCCACCATGCTCAGCAGGAATGGGGAATAGGAATAGCTCCTGAGACTCAGGAGGGGTCCCAAGTGGATTGATAACCAGACCACTTCTGAAAGAAAGTTGTATAGAGCAAAATCATGAGGTGGGTACTACATGAGGCAAAATTGTGATCACTTATGATCAACAAGATTACAAGTATAGTTGCTTAGGTAATATTGATCCAATGGGAAGCAGGTGACATAGCAAGTGTACATGGATGATATCATTAACCTTGATTGATGATTTATATTCTTAGTCTGGGTGGGTGGGGGAGGGTGGCCTATCCCTAATAAAATAATAGTTTATGTGTATGGGAAATCTCAAAATGGTGTTACCAACAATCTCAAATTTCCATGTTTATCTCTTAGGGAAGTATATAAATCTAAATTATTGTGATTTTAATCTTTAGATGCTACCTCAGGCCTTGATGTCTTGTCATTCTCTGCACTTCCTTGAGGGTCTTGCCCTATTTGGCTGCCTAATTTAGTTGTCTATAATATTCCTGAAAGATATTCTTAACTGGGGCTGGAGATTTAGCTCAGTGGCATAAGCATCTGCCTTGCAAGCAGGCGATCGTGAGTACAATCCCCGGTACCGATAAAAAGTTAAAAAAAAAAGATACCCTTAACTGCCTTGACAGAGTAAGAGGCAAAGACCATTCTGGCTGAAGGGGGTAATAGTTGTGATTGGCAGGCGGAGATTTTCTTCAGAGGTTCTGTCTAAAGGCCCTTGATAGACATCTAATGTTTTCATCTTATGTAGGTGTATGGAGACCAGGGCAATGAAACTATTAAGTATGCATGAGCCAAATAATATTATAAATGCAATCAATAAATGTTTCTACCAGGAAGAGCTGATAATAATCTACCACACTGTAGGGTAAGGAGAAAATCCATGAAATTTTGGGATGTGATATGGCATCAGCCTGTCATTTAATATTTTAAACAGCCATCGATTTACTAGCAGAAGGATCAGGAACATACAAACAACATTTGGCTTTTACAATTGCGCAGGTACCCCCTTGTGCTGCTAAGATATCTAATGCCAACCAATTTTGAAGGATGACTTGTCTCATTAATTTTACTTCTTCATGTAGGAGAGAGACCAGTCAAGGTGTCATTTAAGGGCCCTTGAGTATATTTAGTCAAGGCCTCAGAGTGTTGCATGACATCCTCTAATCCTAAGGAAGGAATATAGAATCCAAATTATCATACCAGTGAAACACAATTCTAAACCATCAATATCATAGATGGTGTAAGTTTGCAGATTTGTCATTACTTTTGACACTTCTGCTTTGTAACCATAAAAATCCAAACAGGCATCTCCCTATCCATCTAGGGAGCAATGAGGGTCACAAATTGATTCCAGTGGAGGTTTTCCATTAATACCAGGGTGATTAAACCAGTCTGTTACAGTCTTTAGCTGTAAAGTTATGATGTGTATACACTGCTGAGGGGTATCCACCCCAATATTTAGTAGAATTAGGCCAATGAGAATAAAAGTGATTTCTTCATTCCTACATAAGGAGGCCTTCCTACTAAATTATCCTGTTGTTACAGTTCACTACATGTGATCATAATTAGTATAAATATTGACTTTCTCTCCTTCACTGAGTTGTAAAGCTCTTGTCATAAGTATGTGTCCTGCTAGATGGGCACTAGTTCTAGAGGTAAGTGAGGAACTTTCAAATTTCTGATGTAGAGTCAATACTGCATACCCTGCTTTTTTTAGGGGGCGGGGCTCGCATTTTACTTGAAGGAACTATCATCACAGAAGAGATCAAATCAGGGGCAGTAAAGAGGTATGTCTTAACAATTCTTCTCTGGCTGCATATGTATGAAGAATTACTTGTTTGATTTTATTATGTGATGATATGAACAGCTATTTTGAAGAAAACAAGACATTATAGTAGCCATTGCTGATTTCCTATAATCTTATTTTGAAGTCCTCTCCTGCTTTTATTGTTTTGTTTTGATTGGTTCTGTCCTGTTGTTTTATTTTATTTTATTTTATTTTTTTATTTTTGTCATTTTCATTTTTATCGGTACCAGGGATCGAACTCACGACTGCCTGCTTGCAAGGTAGGCGCTTATGCTGCTGAGCTAAATTCCCAGCCCCTATTTGATTTTATTATATGTGATGCTATGGACAAGTTTTTTGAGGAAAATGAGATAGTATAGTAGCCATTATTCATTTCCCGTTACCTGGTTTTGAAGTCCTGTAATGCTTTCATTATTGTTATTGGTTCTATACTATTTTGTTATGTTTGATATTATTGTCAACTATTTCAAAGATATAGTATGATATAGTTGATATCATAGATAATATAGTGAGTAGATAGTATGGTCAACTATTTCAAAGAAAACAAGAGACGGTATGGTAGCCACTGTTGATGTCCTATTTTCTTGTTGTGAAGTCCTGTGATGCTTGCAGTGTTCTGTTCTGATTTGCTTTATTCTGTTTTCTTTTGTTTTATTCTCTTTAAAATAAAAAAATTAAAAAAAAAAAAAAGAAAGAAAGAAGACCTGCTACGTTGTATATCTACAATGAGATCTTTGGGCCTAAAGTCAGCTTGCTTCTGGTGCCAAGAGAGCTACAGCAGCCCCAGCTCTGAGGCATGAAGGCCATCCCTTTACTGCAATATCCAATTCATGACTCAGATACCCTACAGGCTATTGAGCTGCTCCTCCAGTGAGCACTCTCAAAGCCATGCCCCGCCTTTCATCAACATACAGATAGAAATGGTGTCCTGTTAGTAGGTTCGGTGCTGGGGCGTTTAGAAGTGCTTGTTTGAGCTTCTGGAATGCAGTTTGGTAATCAGATTCTCATGTGAAAATGAATATCTGCCTTTAGGCTTCCTTTATAAGTTGACAGATGGTTTGCCAATCTTGCCATATTCTGCTATCCAAAATCTACAAAAGCTTGTAATTCTTAGGAATCCTTTTATCTGTTTTAGGGTCTTGGAAAGTATTGGTTTAATTCTGTCTTCCCTCAGCCTTCAGATTCTCTTTGATATGATAAAGCCCAAGTACTCTACCTCAAGGCTACAAAGTGGCTATAAGGGGCAGAGACCTTATAACCATTATATGCTGGAAAATTTAGCAGAACACAGGTGCCTTGGCTAAGAGCTCTTGGCTAAGAGCTCTTCTGAGTAGCACATAACAGTATATTATCAACATAAGGCAAGAACTGTGACAGAAAATTCAAAACATGCTTAGTCATGGAAAAGCACTTGTTCAAAAGACAAGGCCTATCTCTGAAATCTTGAGGAAGCAAAGTCCAAGTCAGTTAAAAAGTTTGGTTGAGCGGATTTTCAAAGACAACACAAAATTGGGAATCTGTATGTAAATGAGTAAAAAGAAGGCATCTTTTAAATCTAACACTGAAAACCAACCGGCATCTTCTAGGATCTGAGAAAGGAGAGTGTACAGGTGAGTACGAACAGGTAGATTAGCACTTGTGCCTTATTTATCAATATAAGGTCCTATATCAACTTCCATTCTCCATTGGGTTTTTTTTTTTTTTAAACTCCCAAGATTGGAGTGTTGCAAGAGCTGTTACAAGATGTGAGTAAACCACGTACAGTTAAATTGTCAATCATAAGCAATGGTCCTTTTTTAACTTCAATCCATAGGTATTTTATATGGTGAGGAAAACTAGTAGGATCTTTGAGATGTATTTGTACTGGACCAGCTTTTATTGCTGTACTATTTTAGTTGTCGATATTTCAGGATTTATTTTTGTCTCCATGAGGGAAAGGCAGCATACCTGACCTGGGTGCATGTATATTACAGTATTTAGCAGACATAAAATATCTCTCCCTAGGAGGCAACTAGATTTATAGGCATAATCAAAAAGGAGCAAGTGAAGAGATAGCTATCCCTGGAAGTTTGGAAAAGCCAGGAACATGGATTGTTTAGGGCAAGCTGCAAGAAGGGGAGCAAAGTGGGCCTAAGAGAGAAGCTGTGGGAGTTACAATCACCAGAAGTGCCCTGGAGTGTAACTACTCAAGCCCTTTGGAGCTCACAATTTGCCATAGATTGCTTGGCTGCTGGATTTGCAACTACAGGATTTAATGTTTGCGCTGTTGGATTTTGGACATTCTTTTGTCTTTGTACCCTCTTGTTTGTAACTTGGAATGAAAATGTTAATCTTGTGCCATTGCATATTGGAAGTGTTTAACTTTGTTTTCATTTGTACAGGGGTATGCAGCTAAGAGCTTGTCTTGGTTCTTAAACTTTTCAGCAATGCTGAAACTATTAGGACTTTGACAACTCTTGCAACTGGACTAAATACCTTTGCATAAAAGGATGTATATGAGTCTTTGGAGGGGCAGAGGCAAAATGTTATGATTGTAATGAAATGTTAATAGACTTAATGTTGGTTCTTAAGTATTGTTAAACCTGTGTTATAATGTTCAAATTGTGAAATGATAATAACCATGCTTTTGTACTGGAGACCTATTTTAAAGAAATATATCTAGGGGCTGGGGATTTAGCTCAGCGGCATAAGCACCTGCCTTGCAAGCAGGCGGTTGTGAGTTCGATCCCTGGTACTGATAAAAAGTTAAAAAAAATATATATATATCTAACTGGGTGTGGTAGCTCACGCCTATAATCCCAGCACTCGGGAGGCTGAAGCAGGAGGATCCTTGCAAGTTCGAGACCAGCCTGGGCTACAAAGTGAGTTCAAGGCCAGCCTGAACTGCATAGCCAGACCCTGTATCAAAAAGACCAAAAAAAAAATTATATATATATATATGGTTGCCAAATTGACAAGGGGTGGATTGTTATAGTTGACACATCGTGTCAACTTGAGAGGTTTTACTAAGAGACTCAGCAAATGAGCCAGGATCCTTACTTTGTAAATATCCTCAGTTTGTACTAGAGGGCACAGAGGTGGTATGAGTGCTATACCTGCCCTGAGGGTAGGGGGAGTACTCTGCTTACAATGTAAGGGAAAATAGGCTTGTTCTCCCTCTTTTTTGCTCTGGCTGCTTTTACTGGCTGCTGCCTTGAAGTGTTGCTCTGGTGCCATGCCACCCTGACATGGGGCCAGCTGATTATGGCCTTAAACGTCCACAAACTGTAAATAAATCTTTTATTCCTTTATTTTAGGCATCAAGTGTTTTGTCTCAGTAACAAGAAAAAGTAACCAAGACACTGGTGCTTTCCCAAATCAAGGAATAAGCAATTGACAGCCATGACAATTTTTGATTACCTAAATGAGTCACAATATACAATCCATGAAACAAAAGCAAACACTTGTTTCCAATGATCTCAATGGGGTCTCCAAATGATATAGGAACCCCAAGTGATATAAGGGAGATAAATGTAATCTCAACCTGCTAGAAGTTCAATATGTCCTTTTTTTTTGTACCAGGGATAGAAGTCCAATATGGCAAGTTTGTGTTTTCCAAAGTCAAAGAATTCTAACGAACAGTGGAGGTTAAGAGTAGGAAAATTTATTAGAGAACATCTTCACAGGAATTGAGAGTCATGAGGTGTCTCCAAGGGGTTGCCAGCTAGCCCACTTCTCAAAGGAAGTTTTATAGAGCAAAATCATGAGGTGGGTACATGAGATAAAATTATATCAACCAATAGGATTACAAGTTTAGTCACATAGGTAATATTGATTCAAAGGGAAACAGGTCACATATCAAGTGTACAGGGATATCATTAACATTAATCGATAATCTACAGTCTTAGTCTTAGTGGGTGGAGGAAGATAGCCCACTCCCTAATGAGATAATGGTTTATTTATATGGGAAATCCCAAAAGGGCATTACCAATAATCTCAAATTTCCATTTATTCCTTAGGGAAGTATGTAAATCTGGCCATGTGACTTTAATCTTCTTCAAAGTCTCCTCCAGACACAGTTGCCATGTGTTTTCAGCTTCTGCACTGGTTCCCTTAAGAGTTCCCAGCCCTATCTGACTGTCTGAAATATTTCTACCAAATTTAGCTGTCTCTAATACCAGGGCTTCATCATGCTGGACAAATGCTATACTACTGACCTATATTTTATTTTGAGACAGGGTCTAACGAAATTGTCGACAATGGCCTCAAAATTGCAATCCTGGGCCAGGGATATATCTCAGTAGCACAGTGCCTGCCTGGCAAGTGTGAGGTTGTGGAGTTCAATCCTGGTACCAAAAGAAAAAAAAAATTGCAATTCTATCTCAGTCTGTTGAGTAGCTGGGATTATAAGTATGTGTCACCGCACCTAGTGGTGGTGGTAGCTTCTTATCCCTGTAATGGAACAATGAGCCAAATTCAGAAGCTATGGCAAAATTAGGAGGCTCTGAAAGTGTTATTAGAAAATGAATTTTTCAGCCAGGGATTTAACTCTGTGGCATAAGCACCTGCCTGGCAAGCGCAAGGTTGTGAGTTCAACCCCCGGCACAAAAAGCAACAAAGAAAGGATTTTTCAGCTGGGCATGGTGGCACACACCTATAATTCCAGTACTAGGGAGGCTAAGGCAGGAAGATTGCCATGAATTTGAGGCCAGCATGGGCTACATAGTTAGTTTAAGGCCAGCTTTAACTACATTAGGAGACCTTGTCTCAACAAACAAACAAAAGCAAACCAAAAGCAGAGATTTTTTAAAATTTTTATTGGTACCGGGGATCGAACTCACGACCGCCTGCTTGCAAGGCAGGTGCTTATGCTGCTGAGCTAAATCCCCAGCCCCAAAAGCAGGGATTTTGAACAAGTTAAAAAATTTCTCTGCATATCAATAAATACTACTAAATTCAAGATCTACTATGGGGCTAGGGATTTAGCACAGTGGCATAAGC